AATCACACATTTATCACAACGAAAACGATTTTGTGTGATATGATGTGATAATCATGTGATATGGGTGTGATAATCATGTGATATGGGTTTCAAGTCGTCCATTCTAGATCGACAAAAATATGGATACTAACGATATGAAGAAAAKGTATTAAGAAAGTCGACTATCATGAGCGATCAGGAGAAGAAGGATGAACGATCTGGAGAAGAAGGTTAGATAAGAAAACTAACCAGAGGAAAACGTGGAGACGTGGTCAACAAAAGGGATAATTATGAAATTGAAATAAAATAAAAATTATAAAAATTACTTAATTACATTACTGCCCTTATTAAATTATTTATATATAATATAAATTAATTTATTAATTAAAAAAATTTGAGGTTATTGGGTTGTTCTCGTATTCTCGTAAATCACAGGGGTTCTCGTTTGAACCTCCACCTATATATATATATATATATATATATTTTTTTTTGACAAGATAGTTGATTAGCTAGTTGAAGGCCATTAAATGACAGACTAATAAGCTAGCTAGTAGTTAATTTGATAAGTTATATAACAATTTAACATAACCTAAAAAAATCCAACTCATTTATGATTTAGGTTAGGTTGCTATAATTTTTTTTAAATATTTATTTTCAAATTTTGGTGATTTAGGTGTGTTGTTATAACGCTCGATTTAGTCCTATATAAGGAATAGCTGATATTGAATTACTAATACACAAATGCGTATAATGAACGTACAAATTGTGTTTGTAGAAGATGAAAAATATGTTTACATACCAACGCATAACTTCATATGTCCGCCCAACCAAGAGATATCTAAATGTACATTTTTATATAATTATATATTTTTTTAGTTTCATACGTTTGTATGCATAAATTAATTCAGTTCTTTTTATACTATTGAATTTATGGCAAATATCAATATTGGAGTATGAGACACGGACGACTTGCGCCTCGACTTCAAGACACACGCAAGGTCGTGCAGAGCAGTTTTGCGCGCGTATAAGTCGCGGCACATGTCGCGTAGAACAGTTTTGCACATATATAAGGTTGATTTTTGGGTTTTTTTTTCACTTATTTTTCTCACGTAGCTCATTTCTCCTTCAATTATTTCCTTCCCTTCTCATTTATTGTGATTTGTGAGGCATTTAAAGCACTTTCTCAGGGATTTCAAAGGGGTTTAACGACATCAAAGCTAATGATCCAAGTTTAGGATTCAAGATTCAAGTGTTCATCGCCATTTAAATAAGTGTGGGGAATTATTTTATTTACTTCGGAGATGATTATTTCGAAATTGTGATGAATTTTGTAACCAAAGTTTCGAGATGGTTTTATCTTGGGATTTTGACGAAATGGGGATTTTAACCATTTGATGGTTATTTTTATGCAAATGATCATGTGTTGGATATGATTTGGCATATCTAGAAGATCATACATATTAGACTATAACTGAATGAATCCATAAGCATAGAGATACTGGTGTTGACCCTTACAGTTGAGAATTGATCATTGATCAATATAATATAAATTCTAGTGAACAAGTTCATTTAGGATTCTGGAGATCCAAATGCTATGCCGGAGTTACTATATGTATTGTTTGACGTAAAACAGATAGTGGCGCTCCTGTAGGGCACATCCCGAGGGGCGTTCCATGATGTGCGGTCTTGGGAAATGGTTGCTTGTCAATCAACATCTGTTTTATTGAAGATGCAATAGACTTGAATAAGATATTCATCCCTTTTTGCTGTTCTTCGGTATAATTATGAATACTTGATAAGAAAACTTGATGGTTGTTCAGCAATTTCTAGTTTTATTGGCATTTTTAGATCTAATAAAATAAGCAACTTAAACAAATATAATTTGATCTGATAGAAAAGGCATGGCATCACAATTGTTATGCAATGTATACTCGATAACAATTTGATGATTGCTCGATACAATCCTAATTAGGGATTGTTTACCAAAAATCTATTGGAAAAGTGCTTACCGGTAAAGTTCAACACTATTACTTACTTATCGGGTAAGATTTTAGTCCACAAAAACGACACAATATGCAATAATTTACCTGATAAGCTCTTACCGCTTTTCACTTACCCGGTAAGACTCTTATTCTTTGTCTCACTCTTACCGGGTAAGATTTTTTGTCATTGTCATATTCATCCGTTAAAATAACATAACTTGGTAAACATTTACCCGAACAAGTATTTGGTAAACGACACTTTAATAATTACTTGATATAAATCAAAATTTTACGAGTACGTTGATATCGCGAAAATAAACAAACACTTAAAAATCTTTTTCAGGATCTTATAAAATTTTGAGTAGGTTAAATTTTATATATAAAAGAAGATTTTTAAAAAATGTATCTTTTATTAAAAAAACTGTTTTAAAAAATTTCCATTTTATAAATTAAATAATTTATATTTTATTAATTTATAGCAAAGGCTAAAAGGGCACAAATTGTCTAAGCGGATTAGATACAAATTGTCCCAGGATGTCGAGTTCAGGATGTCGAGTTCCTAAAGTATAGACTTTTTCATTGATACCATATAAGAATATGTGAAACCCCAATATTACTCTTCAAAAGAGCATTTTAAGACATAAGGTTCCAACGTATATATAGAGGTGAAATAGTTCAAGTATAACATATGTAGACTCTTAATATATCTTCATGTACACTTAGAGGCCATTTACCAAATGCTTACTCAGGTAAGTGAACACCAAGTCACATTACCTTACCGGATGAATATTGCGAGGATCAAGAATCTTACCCGGTAAGAACGAGACAAGGACTACAAGTCTTACCTGGCAAGTGAGGACAACGACTCTTACCACGGTAAGCGTTTATCAGGTTAATTGTTGTATATGATACCCTTTTTGTGGACTAAAATGTTACCTTATAAGTAAATGATAGTGTTAAATAAGTGTTTGGTAAGCGACACTTGATCATTTAAAAAGTTACATCTCGCACATTTGAATCAATAAAATATCATATTAAATAACCAGATAATTATTTATAATTAAACATAACAAAAATGTAATGTAAGAAAAATTAATATGTGATTTATTAAGGTTCAATGAACTAATTGACATTGAACTAAAATTTCCATTTTATTCGACAATGTACTTCCCTAATTTGGAAAGATATAGCACATAATATATATAGGGTTTGGGTTTCGGTGAAAAGAAGAGTTAAAGTGAGAAGCGTAAGAAGGGATCTTCACCTTTAGATGCACGTTAGGATGAGATGCACTTGAGCAACCCTATGTCAAATGCGATTCATGGGTGGGTTTGAGATTAAAAATATAAAGGGTCCATATTCATTCTTACGCTTCTCACCGTGACTCTCCTTCTCACACGATCCTTCGCCTATATATATATATATATATATATACCCCATAAATCGTGTTATCATTGTCGGGCTGCCTTCAATGCCAATAAAGCCGCCCCATAAGCCGCTTCCGTTTGGAGGGCTCGACTCACGGGCAAACCAAGTACCCTCTCTCGAATCTTTGTCCATTTCTCGTTTTTGGATCCACCGCCTGCTGTAAACACTTCTTCAACTTCCGTAGCTCCCAAATCCTTCAATAATGTATACCCTTTTGCCTAAACAAAAACAAAACGTTCGATCAACAAGCCCCGTCAAACAACTGTCTTATATCCGAGTGCATGGTCATTGGCTCAGCAGTATCCGGTGACTCTAGTAGAGCCCAACCTCCATGGAGGTCAAAGGTTGAAGTTTTACCAAATGTAAGAAATGCATGTGAGTTTTGCCATATAAAATATTATTTACTTTAAAAAAATGAGTATTTCGGTTAGAGATCGGTCGCATTAATCTATAGTCCATCCATGGATCCACAGCCTCGTGTTCGAATGGCAAAAGTGTAAAAGAACGACAAAAAAGACACAAAACGCTCTTTGTTACCTCAATTCGTGCTATTGATTCAAGAATTCCATGCAAGTACGCTACATCGCTTTCTGGTCGAGGATTCAACCTACAATACGAAAAACAATAAGATGTCGATTAATTGTAGTTCTATTTTTGGAAAGTGAAAGCAAAACAAGCATTTTTGTCGTTACACGGCCAAAATGAAACAAAATGCAACTAAGTTTGCCTTAGTTTCTGTTTAGTGTAATGATAATTTTTTTCATTTAGTGTAATAAATGATCATTTCTTCATGTTTTTTAACTAATAACCAATAGATTTTGTAATTATTGGTGATTGGTGACGCACAAGTTATCAAACTCTATTTTAACTTTTAACTTGTTTATCAGGTAAAATATATATGAAATAGAAAATATCGAACATTTATTACATTAATTGAGAAAAAAAAATTCATCGTTACACTATTAATTTTAAGGACTTTACCTCACCTTGGTACCATCTTGGGATCCGCTATCGGAAACCTCTCGCCCTCCACCGGTAACGGATAATAGTCCAATGATGAAGCTTCCATCGGGTTTATCTGTTTACTCAACTTCTCGAGTTGCTCGTCTGAAAAAAGTTGCCGGAGAACGGCTCCGCCAGTGTTAGAAGCACCTCCAACAAGCCATTTGTCATCAAGACGATGACTGTACACCCCGAATCGTGCATCTTCAATTCTCGTGGTGCTTAACAATTTTATCGCCAGTGTTGAACCCAAAGAAGTCACCTATATACAAGCATCCGGAGATGATCAAGAACGTCTAATCACTCCGACACTTATGGTTCCCATTCATAAACGGATATTGGACCGACAAAATGAAGAAAATAAACATAACAAAAAACCAAATGCGCCCGGTATATCCCACTGGGGGTGGGGTATGGGGATATGATATATACAGACATGACATCTACCCCAAAAAGTATACAGTTTATTTCCATAAATAAATATAGTCCAAAGTTTAAAAACATCTCACCGCCTTCCCAGGTTGAGTAGCACCCGCTGCAAGAAACGCAGCTATACTATCTGTGGTTCCGGTGCACGCAACACAATCCTCGGGAAAACCTGTAGAAGTAATCAAGCCAACATCAAGCATATCATAATCCAACTTTATTGAATTGTTAGCATTTAGACATGTAGTTTCACATAAATGTTTGATTATTGATCAAAATCATCTTTCAACGATAAAGAAAATAAATTTTGATGAGCAAAATGCATCAAAAAGTAACGAAGTTTGCGTTGGTCCCTATTTAATGTAACGAATATTTTTTTTTCAATTTTTCCTATTTTTTACCCGGTTAGCTGATTTTTGTAACATTTGATAACATATATGTCAAGTTTATCATCCATTTTGTTAACCCTTTCGTAAACATGTACCTACGTCATCAAATGTTACAAAATCAACATGTTACTGATCAAGATTGGTTCAAAATAGGAAATGTTGAAACTTTGTTACATCAATTGAAAAAAGATCTTCATTAGACTAAATGGAAAATAAACCAAACTTTGATGCATTTTGCCCATTTTTCATCTATAGAGAACAGACATACCAAACTTTATCCTTATGTCCTCTTTGAGGGTAGTGATTATAGTTCCCGGAGCTTGTACGGTTGGTAGAACGTGTGAATACGGCTGCGATTTCAGCCATGGTGGATATGAGTCGATTTCGGGGTCATAGCCAACCTATGCAAAAAAGAGGGAGAACCCTTTTAGACCCAAAAACAATTGTTATTAACTTTTAAGCTCAACAGGCCGGCTCAACCGACAGACAAAGGCCAGGCCTTGGGGATCCTCCTCAAAGGCCGCTAGTTCGAGCCTCCTTGGGACCATTGTTGAGGATTTTCCTAACTGTAATTTAGAACCCTATGAGCTTAGTCCAGATGCACATTGCGCACATGGCGGCCCAAACACCCATAGTTACCCAAATAAACTTTTAACGTCATATGGACTACCTTTCATTTTGATGTTCAACGTTGACCCGAAATATTTAAATACCCGTGAAAAGGAAACTTATTTAAATACTCATGAACCGGACGCTGCATTTAACTTCATAACAAATACAACAAAATCTTGATCTTAGAGTTTGTAATGAAATCAATGTCAAGATGTCGAAATGATCCATTTGACCTCAAAAAGTCAAACTGCATTTATAGATCGTAGAATCATACTCCCCTATCCCAAAATAATGTCCACGATAGAAAAAACATACAATTTTAGTAATGGATAATTATTATGTTTTTCAATTAACTAAATGACAACTTTACACTTTCTAATAATAATTGTGAACTCTTAGGGGCTGTTTGGCAGTTGCTGAATGATTTGATGCAAAATAAATATTAGTGCATCTAATTATTAAGGGTTTAATTGGAAATTTACTAAATTATATTTATTTTTAAAGCGGACACTTATTTTGGAACGGAGGGAGTACCTTATAAGGGTCAAACATACTATATTTTGTTTTGAAATTCAACTTCGATATGGCGTCTATTTATATTCGTGAACACTTGAAACCGCATTTAACTTCATAACAAAGCCGAAGAACAAGAAAATTTTGGTGTTAGATTTGAATTGATGGCCATATCAAGCTTCCAAAAGTAGTCTTAAAAGACCTCAAAAGTCGAAGTGTGCCTATAGAGAGTAGAATCGTACCTTTAGCGCGTTATTGTAGTCGGACACTCCAATCTTACCATGGAGAAGCCACAGAAGCCAATCTGCTTGATGCATTAACACTGCAGACTCTTTATTTGAATGACTCGAGATCCACCATGAAATGAGCTTGCATAAGGTCGAAGAACCCGAGCATACTGTGTGGTTTGGAGGGGCAATGGATTTTACGATAGGTAAAGCATCAGGACAACTCTCATTATAGAGTAAAGGTCTAGCTAAAGCTTCTCCTGTTTTGCTGTAGATATCAAGAAAAGTGGTGTAATTTGACTTTTGATGTCAAATCTCAAATGATATAATATCCAGCGTTGTTGCTACTCATCACTTAAAAAGTGCAACGTTTGACTTAGATATATAGGTTTAGAATAGTGTCTGAATATTTATCAAATGTCTAAAATACCTTGCCATTGACAAAATAAGGTAATCTTGGGAACCCAGATTAATATCTCAATCATTTGTTATGATAACTACAGTCTACAAACTAATGAACTGTAACTAGAAAAAAAGTGTTGCAATTTCATGAATATTCCGAAATGAGTGGATTGAAATGTTATTTCTTATACTAAAATGATATGTCATTTTATGAAAAATGTTGTGCTCATAACTGCTTACAGCGGTGGACCCACGATTTTTGCCGAGTGGATGCACCTTTAAGTGGATCAAAGGCCCGCAAACTAGTCCCGTGTGTTATTAGCCAAATTCCACCATTTCAAAGGATTTTTTAAGATTTTTGGTTGATTTTGAGGGACTATGTTGGTATTTTGGTTGATGTCCCTTGTATTTTCTAATAACTCAAAGCACCACTCAAAGTTTAGCGTGTGCTCCTTTCATACCAAAAGGAAATCTACTTGTGAAAATCGGTTCAACGGATCATGGATGCATGGACCCACTGGGGCCTTCATAGGCCCCCCCCCCTGACTGCTTACTAAGCTTAAAGCTTACTATTCCATATATGTATCTTAGGCTAGACCAAGTAAGGTGATAGATGGAAAAGGCATGAAATATTGGCATTTGTTGATAGCAGTTTTATGTATGATAAGCTATTGAAGTAATGTTTAGAACACTTCTGCATATTTGGACTAGTTCTTTATAGTAATGTAGTGCAGGATATGAAAATGTTTAGTTTGTAGACAAGTGTGTAAGGTGTTGGAAGAACGGGGCGTCACATTTTTAAATGATAAGTAACATAATAACCCTTACGTAACCTATACCTGACCCGTTGCCAACCCTAGTTTTAGGGTTCTTAATAAGTTCAACAAGGGACCATATGAACATGACCATAACTTCTTAAGGATGCAAAATAAATTTCCTTCATCCCATAAAAGGATCCCCTTTTGATTTTGGAGATTCATGCCTTCTACTTTTTAACTCCGTAATTGAAGCTTTTTAGGGTGTGTTTGGTATGCGGACGAGAAAGACTGAACAAGACAAGATGGGTAAGAGTGAGGACTTGAAGTAGACGGGCGAAAGAATTAATATGATATGGGTAGTTTAGTTTAGTAATTTACCAATCTTGTGTCATCTCCCTGATTTTTGTTCCACTTATTTTGGTGGGACGGAAAGAATGCATTTTTGTCCCAATCCAACATTGTCCTATGATCCTGTCTTAGTCCTATGTCGCGCCAAACATAGGACAACAACTTTTTGTGTTGTCATGTATCGTGTACCAAATGCATCCTTAGGTTTTTGGTTTTTAGTTTTAAAATATTGTATCACCATAATATGTTGATTTAGCTTAACTTAGTACAACGGAAATAAATCTCAATTCAACACTAAAAGGCTAAATGTAGACTTTTTTCTTTGAAAATGCATGTAAATTAATAAATGGAAGAAGATAGTACCCGTCTAATATCAGGGTAGTTGCGGAAGTCCCGTCTATAGAGATGGAAGTGATTAATGAGCGGAGAGTAATCGGTATACTTTCAAGAAGAGAAAAAAGTGTTGTTTTCCATGATTGCACCCAATCAACTGAATCACCACTCTTCCTAGACAACAAATAACAAGCTCGTAAGGTTGTTTAAACACATAAGATCCATCCTCAACGCCCTATCATCAATAAAATAAACAAGAGAACTAAAGGTTTCCCTAAATTCTTTATTTTGTGGGTCTCGTCTAATAAATACGAGAGAAAAAAGTGAAATGCGACTATAAATCCATTTATTTGACTTGAGAAGAAATGAGGATGTGACTACAAGTCTCATTTACGTAATATCGTAATATTTATATTCGTTTGCTTAGCTTAAAAAACATTATAACTAGTAAAACTTGAACGTTTGCCACCACTCTTCTTGATTAAAATGTAAAAGCACACAAAAGTATGTTAGAGTAGCACTAAATGGTAGTTTTCAATGGTGAGTGCAACAAACCTACAACTATGGTTAGATCACCCGTTCGAGTCTACTCAAGGCCGCCACTAGAGGCGCTTTTCCTGGGTGTTCTCTTTAGAGCTCATCAAATTAGTCGAGGTGCGTGCAAGCTGGCTAACCGATACCCAAAAAAAACTACAAATACGGTTAGGCTTTCCACTTATGGTAAAACTCCTTACTGCAATTTTTATTTTCCTTTGAAAAAATGACTCTTTCCACTTATGGGTTGTCCAGGGAAATTGTCCAACATAGCAATTTTTAACCCCACAATTCACTTAGCTGCTTTTCTACATAATTGATCAAAATAGCCAATATTCCGCAAGCAGCACTTTTGCAACTTGCGGAATCTCCTTTATATTAATGCAATATTCATAAAGTAGCAATTTCGCAAGTTACTAAAGTGTCAATTGCAAAATGTTGACGTAGGAGTGTCACTTACACAACTTGCTAGTATGTTACTTTTTCTGGAAGGGTATCCCAGGCTATGTCTAGACTAATCCCGGCAAATTATGACCGCAAGAAATCAGACCTCCACAATTATTGTGTACGCCTGGAATCAAACCCTGGACAGATGGGATATTCCACAACATCCACAGGACCTCAACCACTATGCCACTACCTTGCGGTTTGCTAAGATGCTACTTGCTAAAGTGCTATGTAGCATCTTGCAACTAGCACTTTAACAACTTGCTAAAGCGTTACTTTATTATTTTGGTCAATTTCCCTAGATTCCATTATACCAATTGAAGCAGTATTGAAATCAAACAAAGCAAATCATGATTATAAAGTTGAGTTTTAAATATCTTACCAAATAAAGAGGGTAATCCCTCTTTCCTTCTGAATGTATGATCCCTTCCTTGTCAATAATTGCATACCTCGCTCCAGATGTACCAAAATCCATCCCCAAATAGAGCTTCTTTTCCCCTATTTCAACATCAATGGTTGTATCGGCTTCAAAACTATTCCTCCCAGATCGCATTCCCCTTCTTGATTTTGATTTATCTGCAATGTTGTTGGAGAACCCAGTTCTTGAAATGGATCTACTCGGATTATAAACACCTAAATTATCGAACAAACGATTTGAAATTTTGAAACCAGGGATTCAATTCTGTAGAAGATCAGCAAAAAGGACTTACCATTATTCCTCCAATCTTGCATTCCGCTTCTTGAATTTGAATTATCTAGGGTGTTATTGCAGAACCCGGTTCGTAAAATCGATTTCTTCGAGCTACAACTACCTGAAATGTTGTGAAAATAGGTGTTGATCTTTGAACTTTTAAAAACCTTGTGTTTGAATATAAAAGGTGTCAAGCGGGAGCTGTACTGTGTTGAGATGAAGATGAAGATGGGCGGAGAGACCAGATGGAATGATGAATTGAGGCTGCCATTTTGTTTAACCTTTTGAACAACTGGATAATATGAATATGGAGGCCAAGGCGCGAGCCGGAACTTTGATAACCATAAAATACGTTTTTACGTTTTAGTCCATGTGGTATTGTGGTTTGTTGAAATTTTCTTTTTTTGTCCCTATGATTTTAAAAGTACAATTTACATCCTCATAGTTTATAATTCATTATTTATTTTGTCCTTATAATTTAAACTTGGTTGTTTTTTTATCCTTGTACTTTACAATTAATTGCTATTTTAATCCCTCGTATTTAAAAGTAGTAGTCAATCTTAAAGACTAAAATAAAAATAGATTACAAACCATATAGAAGAAAACGGGATTTTTGAAGCCATATGTACAAAATCTAATTTTTTAACCACAATGGTGATGTCTGATTAGTTTGAGCTTGACTCCGAATGTCAAAAGTACCAGGAGGTCGCATGTTCAAATCCAATGAGAAATAAAAATCCCCTTGTAGCCAGGGAGGTTCAAATGCGATGACTCCGGGCTATCTGCAAATAAGCGGTTGTCCTGGGATTAGTCGGCTCGCATAGCGGGTTAGATATCCAGGTTAATCAAAAAATATATATATATATTTTTTTTTAACAAATTAAAGATGAAACATGATTTACTCTATTTTTTTTAAGTGAATTACACTCATGGTTTGTTCAAAATTTGGATATGTTATCTGAAAAAAGAAGTATATATATTGATGGTCCATAACTTTTTAATTTCATAACACTTATGGTTGTTGAACTTAACATCTTCGGTTAGCAACTATTAAAAAAGGTAAATGAATATTTGGAAAAGCTACAAAAACCAAAATTGTGATTCACTCTGAAAATGATATAATTTCATAACACTTATATTTATTTATTTTTTAATAATATAATTTTTTTATAAAAATAATATTTAGTATTTTATTAAAATTCAATGATTATTCTAAATATATTTTGGATTTTTTATATTGAAAATGATATATCTATCCAGTATTTGATTATGTTTATCTGCAGTTAGTTATACGAATTCAAACATGGAACTTTAATAAGTTGTACATACGGATAATTTACTTGTAATCTTGAATTTTAAGTAATATGCATCAATAAACATTACTTAACACATAAAAAATGGGTTTTGTCAAATGATTTGTAATATAATATAAATAAATTTTAGAACATGTGAATCACAATTAATTTTAGAGTGAATGACATTTTTGGTCTCTGTAATTTGTCAAAAGACTGATTTTGTTTCTCATTATGGTTAATAAACTGAAGGTCTTAACTCCAAATACTATTAATGTTATGAAATTGATAATTTAAGAACCATAAATGTAGATAGTTTGTTTTGTGGACCAAATCCAATTTTTCAGCAAACTACATGGACAACTGATGTAATTCACTCTCTTTAAAATGTACTTTTGGTAAATATATGTAACTTTGTCACTTTTCTTTTCAAATTAAAAATTAGGAATTTCTATGGTTAAGCACATAAACAATATTACATGTTATTTCTCTCCTATTGATGATTTGATGATGAAACTGGTGATGGTGGTGATAGTGGTTAAGGTACAGACGATGGTGGCTGGTGATCGACGATGGTTGTGTAGAACGTGTAAATGGTGGTGGATTATGAATGAGATGGTGGTGGTGGTTATAGATGAGGTATGGGCGGTGATGGCCGATGTGGTCACAAACGGTGGTAAGTAGCAATTTGATGCAGAGTAGTTCGTTACCCACTTTTTCCGAACCCACATCGAGACACATATAACCAGTATACAATGTTATCTGATAGTATAACACAAGACTAGTTATACGATATTCATGTATGTACTGTCCATTTAGCAAAAACAATTCATAACTAGAATCAATATGGAATGGTTTTTATAACATGTAAATTGCCTAACATGATAACCAATACCAATAACTACCCAAAATCCTCTCTCACTAACCGATTACATCCCTATCATCACTTCACATAGCTCTCACTCACAAACCTACACGAATAATGAGTGATTCCATTTCGGGACTAAATTATTGGGTTATATGCAAATTGTCTATTTTTTTATCCTCACTTTGTTTTCGCTAACAATCAGCCTTTTTTTTTCTCTCTTCTTTCAACCCACCAACCACTTTTAGATTTTTAAAGTTGTTAAAGTAGACACCTCAAATTAAAACGACCATAATCTCACTCTATTTGGGTGTCCATTTGCCGATCAACCCTCAATTTAACCACCAAACAATCCTTAGCTGGTTTCAAATACCACTCGTCTCCAATCGGTGACTCCCTCTAACCTAAATCCATCGGCCATCCTCTATCTCTTGCCCACTGATCTGGATTCCTTTAACCGACCCACCCATTCACTCGCCACCCCCATGGGCTAACACTTCATCTATCTGATCCTCTTTCTCAAAACACACTATACGGTGTTTCTCACTAACCAAGTTGTGGCCGACCAACTTCTAAGTGAACAAATTTGTGGGTCTTGATCTAACAAATGCAAGTGTAATCTCATAAAACATGAGATGGAAATTTAATGTCAACAACCTTTTCTTTTCTTTTCGTGGTGCCTCTGAGCGGGGAGAAATTACACATATCCAGTGACATTGTTGAAGGCTTATTGAACGTGGACTGTGTGATAAAAGACATCAGACGTAGATATAGTTGTTGGGGGGAGATATGGTGCATTTGTTGAGGGGGAGCAGTCGGCCATTCAAGTTCAATCATTTTGAGGTCGTCATTGTATTTGTATCTATCTTTGTATACGTTTATTTACTTTCTCATTCATTATGCATTGTGTTTATTTATTTATTCATTTGTACATGGTTATAGAACCAAAAAAAAAGTCTAAATACATATTTACATGAAAAAAGTCAAAAACCCAAAAAAAAAAAAAAAAAAGAAAAACGGGTCGTTAAGTTTATGACAATTCTTCTCGGTGGTTTTTTTACACGTGATATTTGTTCCCGTATGTAATTTTTTATATTTACATCAATAAGAATTAATATTTAGAAAACATTTGAGTATTTATATTAATCCTTAACCCTTTATAATTACTTGTTTAACCCTTCACCCATCCCACCACCGTTGCCGTCACCATTAATACTACCATCGTCAACACCATCGCCGACATATTCTATTTTAATTTATGTCAACTACACATAGAATCAAACATGATTAAATTTTATTCCAATTTATTTGACCTATTATAATTCCAACAAATTTCATTTTATAAATCAAAACGCCCTCTTAGTATATAAAAATTAAAAGTAAAACCATACCCAATAATTCGTATTAAAACACAAAAAATATGTTTATTTTAAAAAATAAATAAACGTTGAATTTGTGGTCGGGCGTCAAACCAAATTCGAATCCAGTTTAATGTACACGTACACGGTTCTCTTTTCTTCCCGCCCAACCAAAAACTTTACCCGCCACACCACTCGCACTACTGACCCACAATAAAACCCTATCTCCGCCCTTCTCTCTCACCCTCCTCCGCCTCTTTCTCTCTCATTGTTGCCGGAAACAATGCCCAGCAGCAAGAGGAAGTCGCGTGCTTCTCTCAAGGACGCTGATTTAGCTTCACCTACTTCGGAGAAGAGGCCGAAGAGTGAGGAAGAGGAAAAAGGAGAGATTTTGCCTAATGCTGATGCTGTTGAAGCTCCGGCAGTTAATAATGGAGATTCCTCGGTAAGAAGTTCTGGTCGAAGATCGGAGAACAATAAGGAAGAAGCTGAGTTAAATGACGACGAGGAGAGTCGATTGGTCGGCGATCCGATCCCCGATGATGAAGCTCGACAGCGATGGCCTCACCGATACCTGGGAAAAAATGTGAGGATTTATTTGATATACATCAAATGCTAACTTCTCGTATATCTGTATAGTTCAAATTTTTTGGTGCATGTAATTTTCGTAAAGCTGGAGGATCGAGAACAATTGGAAAGTAACGTCACTTGATCAAGCAGTACATAACATGCTGATAAAGCTGTTTTTCGAAATGCATTTGCCGCTTTTGTTTGCATTATGTTGGTATGTACTTACTGATAGAGGACTATCAGAAAATTGCTATGAAATTGAGTTAATTGATAACGCTCAAATATTAGCTAAATTTTTATAATAATTTGGTAATAGCATGATCTTGTATATCCAGGGTCTGCAAGACCAACATTCATTTGAGAAACTTCAAACATAGGCCAAGTCTATTCTGTTAGTTCCACAAATAATATCATGCATGTATCTGTGCATCTAGACGTGAAAGCACCAACATACTAATGCTTTGGCATTTCAAGAAAGGAAAATATGGGTCTTGCCACAGCAAGCACAAATTAATATTTGGTTATGGGTTGAATGCGTTCTTGAGGAAGTTTGAGGGAAGTACCCTTCTAGATTTGTTTTTCACTTATTTACTTTTTTGCTTGTTTTGGAAATTACAGAATACTAGAACGACCGAGAGTATGGAAACCCCAAAAGGGTAAGTCTCCACTGTTGGTGTCTGTTTAGCTGGATAAGGGTTTATATGCTTTTAGTCTTGTTCCTGTAGGATGCTATTTGTTACTTATATGGAACTTCTTTGTGAACTTCAAGGACTGAGCCTCAAAAAGAGCTTATTCAAGCTAGACGACACTTCACTGAAGCACTTGTGGATGGTTGTATACCTTTTAAACTCGGAGATGATGGATATGTCCAGGTAAATAAGAATTTTTTTATAAAATGTATATGAGACTTATGTGTTGGTTGTTGATGTAGGTTCTAGGATTCACCCATTAACGCAATGCAGATGTTACATGGTCCCAAACCCGAACAACTAATGTGGATAAAGAAAGATGCTATCAGTGATCCATCACCATATAACGATCCATAATGACATGAAATTTAATAACAAAGCTTAAAGCCTTAAACAAGCAAAACTAGATGACATGGAAATTGAGACAACTAGAGAGAGATATCAACTGTACTAATCATAACGAGGTTACAAAATATTAACACGATTGAAATAGCGAAGAATGACTCGTGTTCTTTGTACCTTCTATTTAGGGGAAGGAAACAGAATTTCAAAGGAGTCAAATAAGATCAACTGATGGTCTTTCACTATTTTGTGTAATTTGTGCTAAAGCTTGCCCTGTGGCATCTGATTCGATCTGGCAAGGCCACACAGATCCTTGCCCAGCTTGCCAAAAATCTACTGCAGGTTTCAAGGTGAAATCGTCCCCACAATCTTCATGCACAACATGGACAGGTTGTGATCACTCAAACACCATCCTCACTGAATTTGTACTGGAGCTAATTGCCTGAAGCCAAGCAACCAACACAACTTGGTTGCATGCATTTCTGGGGAGATTGAGCAGCATTTTTTCACAAATACAGCAGTTTATCATGTACATATGTTCGAATGATGAGCATGTTGCTCCCAACTTGGTAATGGCATCTAATATAATCTAACCGCAATTAATTTGTTTTATTTGATTAGGCTGGTGAGGGTGAGGAAAGTTATATCTGTAGAATTGTGGAATTGTTTGAAGGAGTGGATGGTGCACCTTATTTTTATGCTCAATGGTTTTATAGGGCCAAGGATACAGTAAGTTATATTTCAAATATGCTTAGATAGTTCTATTATTTGATGTTTTGGTGTGCTGTCCTAATACCGCTTTAATTGCCATTTCAGATTATTCAGGCCTGCTCTAACCTTATTGACGATAAACGTGTCTTCCTTTCTGAAATAAAGGATGACAATCCTCTTGATTGTCTTTTGCAGAAGCTTAAAATAGTGCGGGTTCCTTTGGATGTAAGAACTGGCTTTGGTGCCTTTGATACATCAGAACCCATAAGCTGTTGTTCTCACTGCTTTATAATTTTTGTTCATTTCTTCAGGTTGATGTGGCTAGTAAGAGGGCTATGCTTTTAGATGGAAACTATTATTATGATATGTTGTATTTGGTGCCATATTCAACTTACCAAAACTTACCACTTGGTAAATGTTGCTAAACCAAATTCTATGGATACATACACTTATATTCAGTTGGTAGTCATAGTAGTAACGTGTTAAAATTAAAAACTTTTATTGGCACTCAACAACTATATTTGTATACAGATAATGAGGCAGATGGAAATGAGTCTGAATCAACCATATCTTCTGAGTCTGATTCTAATGCAGCTGTTACCGAGACCTCCAAAATTCAAGAAGACGATAAGTCTGAGATGAGGATGCTAGACCTCTACTCAGGATGTGGTGCGATGTCTACGGGGCTTTGCTTGGGTGCTAATATGGCAGATGTTAATCTTGTCACGGTAGGACCTGATTCTTTATCCTGTATGTATATCTTTGAATATCATGCTTCCTGATTTTTATATATTTTCGTTATAGAGATGGGCTGTTGATTTGAATAGATATGCATGCGAAAGCTTGAAGCTGAATCATCCAGAGACAGAGGTGTGCGTCGTTTGTTATACTTTTTTCTTCTGCATTTTCCTTTTGTTAATGGCGGTGTGAAACATTTTTTGTAGGTGAGGAATGAATCGGCAGAAGATTTTCTGTGGTTGCTTAAGGAGTGGCATAAGCTTTGCCAGTCCTTTTCCTTAGTTGGTGGTGGTGATTCACAGCTCAGTGGGGATCCTATGATTGTAAAAGAAGATGAAACAGAAGATGCTGTTGATGACGATGATGACAATGATGGACTTGATGAGGAAGTATTTGAAGTTGATAAAATTTTGTCTATTTGTTATGGTGATCCAAAGGGACTCAAGAAGCCAGGGTTGTACCTTAAGGTATTCCTACTTTGCTATGAGGCACAAGACACCTCAACAAATCTTTGTTGAAAATGTTCTCACTTGATATTTTTTACACTTTCTGAAAGAATGCCTTTTCAGGTTTTTTTGTTCAATGATTGGTTATTTCTGGAATTCCATATGACAGGATTTAAATTAAAAATCCTATAAGGTGTGTCATATAGACAGTTGACATTTGATATGAGGGTAATTCTGATGTGAAAGCAGTAATTCAGATTTAACTTTTTTGATATGGTGTTTTGGTGCTAGAAACAAATATGATTGAATAAATTTGTTGCAAAAATGATTTGTTGTTGTGATATGAATACTATCAAAAGCCACCTTTGATATATTATCTAAACGTTGCAAGGCATTATCATAAAGTACGCATTGAACTGCACTTATTTATAAGCGCTAATATTTGATGCTTTTTGTATGGTTTACTAGGAGAAAATACTTGCATTATGGTTCACAATTACTTCTGATACCTTCAACTGATTAACTTGTTCTTCTATTCTTGTATTACTAGATCCGTTGGAAAAATTATGGTCCTGCAGAAGATACCTGGGAGCCTATAGATGGCTTGGGGTATGGAAATACACTTTAATTTCTGTTCTTGTGATGTGTAAATAATTCCATTAATTTGACCTCAAAGCATTTGTATCAGTGACTGTCAGGAGAAGATAAAGCAGTTTGTTGTAAATGGCTTCAAATCAAAGATTTTGCCTTTACCTGTAAGTGCAGAAATCCTTCGCAGATACATGTATTAGTTGAGATGGTTAACTGTGTTGTTCTAATTGTTAGGTATTTTGTTTGCTATGTTTATAGGGGGACGTGGATGTAATCTGTGGTGGCCCTCCTTGTCAGGGCATAAGTGGATTCAATCGCTACAGGAATAAAGACAAGCCATTAGAGGATGAAAAAAATAAACAGCTTGTTGTCTACATGGACATCGTAGAATATTTAAAACCAAGGTTTGCATTGATGGAAAATGTTGTAGATATAGTAAAGTTTGCGAAAGGGTTCCTCGGGAGATATGCTCTGGGTCGCCTTGTTTCTATGAACTATCAAGTACGCATAGGTTTGATGACAGCAGGTTCTTATGGACTCCCACAGTTTCGCATGCGGATGTTTATGTGGGGTGCCAGGCCCAGTGAGGTGATTTTCTTAGTCTTATGCCTGCTTCTTGCTTTGGTAGTTCAATTTGTATAATACTGTTTTTATTTTGCAGAAGCTACCACAATACCCATTACCCACACATAATGTTGTTGCGAGGGGGGTGTCTCCTGTGGAATTTGAGGTATAGTTTGGTAATTTATGATTCAATGGAATTTGGAAAGAGAGAATAAATGAGCTATAAACTGAATCATGACATATGTAGTTGCTTTGATGAAAACGAGAAGTGAAGATAGACTGGTTGGTGGTTCTGGCGTGTGACATCTCAACTGCAATTAATGATGCCTTTTGTTTTTGGTTGTTTACAAAATCAATTGTCCTTTCCAGTAGACTACTTTTTAGCTTTGACCGTTTCAAAATGTAGAGGATTTTTTTTGGAAATTTGTTTAGATCTCAACATAGAAATCATATCAACTTGCTTGCATAATAAATTAAAATTTATGACCCTCTATATTATTAGTTGAGATTGCATTATATTTGATGAAAGGAAAAGATGCCATGGATATAAGACAGATGTAGAGCTTAATTAATAAAATTCAATGCACGAAAAGTTCATAATTAAGCAATCTAATGAAAGAAAAGTACGAGAGGATTTTTTTGGTAATATATCATTTATTTTTCACTCCAGTATACTATGTTGAAATGAGATTTTGAATCTGGGATGGAGAAAGTATTATGAGATCACTGCAGTATATTTTTTCATCAAACAGCATTTTTCATGCATTGTTTGCTGCTTAGTCAGCTTAAATGCTCCTACAAATTTCTATTTTATAATCAGTTTCTCTCTTTCCATAGTTTGTTCTAGTGAACAATATTTATTTGTATTTTCTTTTTGATTGGTCTTAATTGAAAATTTACTTGGCAACTGCAGTCAAATGCTGTTGTTTATGATGAAGTCAGTGGAATCGAATTGGAAAAAGAACTATTTCTCGGTGATGCAATTTCTGATCTTCCACCTGTAAGTAATTATATACTTATTTAAAATATCTCATTCCTCCACGACTGAAGAATCATAAAGTTTACAGGCCGTCCTTTTGCCTTGGTGCCTAAAGTTTCAGAAATATGATATCAAGTGTGGTAAGGGTGAGCGTGAACTTAACCACAATGTTCTATTGTGATTTTGTTCTTTTGGGTTTGATCATAGGAATATGTTTTTTTGTGCATGTATATAATACGGTTGGGTTCCCGTGAGAAGGGAAGTTATGGTGACAAGTATAAGAAGAGATCTCCACCCTAGGATCAATCCTAGTTGAATGTCCACACTAATGAGGTGAACCTAGAATCCGAGATGCACTAGATCAATTCTCTTTTAAAGGCAATTCATGGATGTGCATGAGATTAAAAGTGATCAATGGTTCAGATCTCTTCTTACGTTTCTCACCATAACTTCCTTCTCACATGATCATAGGAATATGTTTTTTTGTGCATGTATATTATATGGTTGGATTCTGGTGAGAAGGGAAGTTATGGTGACAAGCGTAATAAGAGATCTCCACCCTAGGATCAATCCTAATTGAATGTCCACAATAATGAGATGCACCTAGAATCCGAGATGCATCATATCAATTCCCTTCTAAAGGCAATTCATAGATGGGCATGAGATTAAAAGTGATCAACGGTTCATATCTCTTCTTACGTTTCTCATCATAACTTCCCTTCTCACACGATCCTTCGCCATATATTACACACACACACACACACACACACACATATATATATATATATATATATATATATATATATATCGTTGTTAAATCCCAACATGGACATAACTTTGGACAGCTGAATGCCTTTCTTCGCTACTAACCGAGAGGAAACATCCTTGGGGTGGGAAATAAAACATGTTCTTACTTCTTTTTAGGTGGCAAATGATGAGGAAAGAGATGAAATCCCCTATCAAGAGATGCCCAAGACAGAATTCCAGAAGTTTATACGACTCAAGAAGGAAGGTGAGAAAGTGGTTCAATTTATATTTTATTTCGATTAATGTCGTTATATGAGGTAACTACATGCTTATGTTACTGCATTTGTAAGGTTCAAGCTTCTGAATTTGTTATGTCATTCTGTACATCATCATTGTGTTTCAGCTCGTACATTTTTTGCTATTTGGGTAGTTATTTAATAGCTGAAGCACTAAGCCGGGAAAGCAAACAGAAAGTGGTTCATATATACTGAACATGAGATACCGAGCAAAAGGATATTATATCCAAGTAAACTATATTATTTGTTTGATTAGCGCTCAGATTGTCACTCACATTTGGTAGTATTAGAAAAACTTCAAGAAATATCAACTTATTTTCCCTTTGCTGTCATTCAGCTTAATTACCCTTGTTTTTGTCATTTTATGAACTCATACTACCTATAATCATAATAACATCCTGGATTAATTATGGTTACGCTGCTCTCTTTGTGGTTAAGATTGCCTTTTTTGTTTACATCTTTCTATTTTTGACAACATGTCATTCAAAATTACGTCTGAATTTTGTTTCATTTGTTATCCAGATATGCCTGGGTTCTCAATGGTGGGTGTAGAGTCTTCAGACCATCCTTTGTATGATCATCGTCCATATAAATTAAATGATGATGATTACCTACGTGTCTGCCAAATTCCTAAGAGAAAGGTTTGTTACATTCTCAGCACACACATCGTTTCACTTTTTTATGCATCATTTTTGTTCATTTTTCTTCCTTTTCAGGGTGCAAATTTCAGGGACTTAAAGGGTGTTCAGGTCCGAGATGACAACCATGTTGAATGGGATCCTGATGTGGAGAGGGTATATTTACCTTCAGGAAAGCCGTTGGTGAGTGTTGCACTACTTTTGTTGCTTGTGTACAAACTTTTCATTCAGACATATTTATATTAAACAATACATGGTATTGTAGTTGAAGAGAGAAGATTGAAAAAAAAGAGAACAAGGAAATCCATCTGAACCATCCATCTATTTTAATCCAATGGTTGTGAATAATAGGGGTGGTTACATTTTGCCAAAACCAAGTCTGTGATTGTAGGGGGTGGTACAAATGAATCTGGGCCATCTATTTTATCTAACAGTTGATGGGGGTTCCCTTGTTCTCTTTTTGTGGTTCTCTCTTGAACCTCCCTCTATATGGTGCTGTCTTGTTGTCATTGTTTGGTTGTATCATGCTCATCACTTGGGATCCCCAGGCAACATTTTTTTGCTAAAAGGCATGGAAATGGGTGTGGCTAACTGGATTTGGCATCTAGGGATAGATGGTTAGTCAAATTGGGTGCAAAGAGAGAACGTTAAATACTATCATTATTCCAAATTGTCTTGCAGACTTTTTACAAGAAATTGTAAGGGCCGACTTTGCTAGCAAATATAGGCTAGGCCTTGGGCCTCTTCCCTATAAGTTGAAATTTTGACTCTTCTCACGGTTATAATATAAAGGAAAATGAACCAATATGACGTTGTGCCAATGGATGTGCAGATACATATTTTTTGTCAACCACTCATTGATTTTTCTTTTTCTCTTGATGACAGGTTCCTGATTATGCCATGACTTTTGTCGATGGACGATCATCAAAGTAACCTTTCGATACAAGTTTATTTTATCTGCAGACATAGTTTCCAACTTCTTTAACTTACTTTTCATTATCCAATTGATATGCAGACCATTTGGCCGGCTATGGTGGGATGAAATCGTACCTACAGTTGTCACCAGGGCAGAACCACACAATCAGGTGAACCTTTTTCCCCATTATTATTAACTAATTATTTTGTTAATTACCCATGTTGGTATGCCTCATTAACTAATTATAATGCTATTTCAGGCAATTCTCCATCCCCTTCAAGATAGAGTGCTGACAATTCGTGAAAATGCAAGGCTTCAAGGTTTCCCCGACTACTATAAACTTGTTGGCCCTATCAAAGAAAGGTAACAAACCATGCCTATAACGTTTGCTTCTATAACTTCATCATATTGATAAAAACATTCCCTTTTTAATCTATACGTTGTACTTTCTTTTGTTGTATAAAACTAAAAATAACGAGGTCCTTTGGACAAATGATCTTAAATGAGTTTTCAATTAGGAGCATAACCTTCTAATTATTTTGCAGCTCAATAACCTTCATCTGATTCAAACAGTCTACCCCTGGTTCAAAACAGTCTGCTCCTGAATAAACACTATTAGATTCAGTTTTTTAGGTCATTCAGCTAAATAGCCAATATTTAAATAATGTCAAAAATAATAACACTTGATTTGATGCAAATTTTACTATAACAAACATAAGTAGTTGATTTATTGGAATCGTGCAGATACACTCAAGTTGGAAATGCAGTAGCGGTTCCAGTTGCACGAGCATTAGGGTACTCGCTAGCTATGTCATGCAAAGGTACTGCTAGCGAAGGACCTGTTTTCAGATTGCCAGAGAGGTTTCCAAATATAGAAGCAGTTCCGGTTGCAGTAGCGGTAGAGGAAAATCAATAATTGGTAGGTATTTATTATTACAATAGTTGTCAAAACCATAAATGATTCATCATTTAAAACATGGAGATTATTTATGCATTGTGCCAAACCATATATGGAAGGGCTGCTAGTTTACAAGTCAACTGTATTATTTTGATTAACATCTTTCTGTAATGCTAAATGCTAATGAATACCCTGATTATATTTGATTTGATTTATGTTGCCTGCTTAATTCTTTTCAACTTTTGCATTTCGATGTGAGTATATATATATATATATAGACTTGGGATCATGTGAGACCAATGGTTTTTCGTGAGATCTCAACCCTTGGATTAGATTTACAATCAAAACATTCATAATTACAAAATTGCCATGAGACTTCTCAATACTTACAAAATTGTCATCGTGCAACTTTAGACCATTAGATCATTAGCTTATAAAGTTGATCAATGAACATAAATTGGTCTTACGGATCTCACGAAAACCCTTGGTCTCACGTGAACCCAACCCTATATAAATGGTCAGGTTCAAGAAAACCAAATGAAAAATTAAGGAACACTCTAATAACCATTTATTTGTATGATGTGCACATGAGTATATAAATAATTGAAGACGTTTCCTCTTTTCTATGCACATGTGCATGTGCATACCGGACAATTTATATACAAATGAACGGTTATTAGGGTGTTCAGTTTTCTACTTTTTCTGCGGTTTCTCTTGAAACTGGTGTGCATGTGTGTATATAATGAGTTGAACGGAAGCAGAAAAAATAAGATGCAAAACCATCTCCATTGTGTTTCATAACTCTTAAATCTGTTGTACAAATATCACTTTGAATCATGTATATGTATATGTATATGTATACATGTATGTATAATGTATATATACAAATTGGTTATTCAATCTTCCATGCATAAAGAAAAAGGCAGCATTGTGAAGTTTTTGGACTACCGTATGTCGAATAATACTTGCTTACGCTACTGTTATCGCTCCCTTCTGACCCATCTTGGCTATTCTCTTCTTTATCATTCTCTGGGCTCGGTTGACCCGGCTTGAAAATAAACAACCCGTGGCTCGAACCTGGGCTCAGAAAAAGCCAAGCGTGCACGTCCCATAACACCTCGATAGGTTGCTTGTTCACCAACACTGTTTGGTTCCCTCGAAACTTCCATTGCAAGTTTCTTACGTGGATCAGCACGATTCCGTCGATGCTGATCCACATTTCGGGATCTTTTGGCCCTAACGTCGAGCTTTCCACCACGATCTCGTAATCTTTCCGGTGTTTATCGAATTTCGCTCGTGTTGTAAAGCTTTTCTTCCCGAAAACATGCTCTTTTTTAAAAAATAAAATGGCGTTGGCTTCGCCCGGCCGGGATTTCGTCCGCTTGTATACCTTCTTTTTCAAGTCACCTATTAATAACACAACTTCTTCATCGCAAACTAACGCAACATAGAAATCCGAGCACGGTTCCGGTGAACCAGAAAACCTTGCTGACCGAAGATCCCAATAAACGTCAATTTGAAGCCCGTCGACCTCGAACGTTTTGTAACTCTTTTTGCCCCAAAAATGCCATGGCTTGAGATCAATTTTGCAGTTTTGTCGTTGGTCGGAGTCCACGCTGTCTACGAAGATGTTTAACGAGTGATTCATCATGTTTTTGGTCCAAAGGGCCGTCACTGTCCGCCAGTAGCCGCCAATGTGCGCTTGATACATGCACATAACGGTGCATTGTGCGGTTTTTGTCGATGTTGGATCTTCGGCTATTTGGGACGACGTTTGATTCAACGACATCGGTTGATCCCTAAAGGCGCCACGAGAATCCATCTTCAATCATTCATGGGCTAACTATCTATCTTCGAATTTCATGAGATTTCTTGCATTCCAAACAACTCCGAAAGACCAACGATCAAACCATGTTTCTTAAGCACATGAAATATCGAAAGATTGATCATGAAATCCTTATTTTTTCGATCAGTAATAATTTTTTCTCGTTCTTCGTCTTCAAATCGTTCGATTTAATTCGAATAGATGATGAATTCCTGGTTTGAAAAGGGATTTTAGATGTTGAAAAATTATGCATCTAAAATTTGATCTTCCAAGAAAATGAATAAAAACGTTTTTAGGGATGAGATTTCTTGAGGTGCAAGAAACGAGGAAGACATGAAAACATGCACATCAATCTCCTTTCAAATGAGTGTTTGGAGACAACAAAAAATACATCAATAAAATAATTCCTTTAAATAAAATTTAATTAAATTTAATGATTCAAAATAATTGGAGACAATTTTGGAGGCATAATTAAAAATCAGGATTTATCAATGGACCAAGAAAATTAGAGTTTAAGAAATAACTTCACTTAAGAGAGTTTCTTAACTTTAATTACATATACATATTATATAGATAAATGGTTACTAGGGTGTTCTTCAAATTTTCATTTTTTAAGATGATTTTATTGACCTCAGTGTGATACCTAATCACATATATGATACATTGTGATACCATTGTGGTATCATCGAAGAACGGTGACCAGAGGACAGGGAACTGAGATAGAAGAGAGGAGAGAGGAGAGTTTTAAAATACCTAAAATGTCCTTGCATTAAAATTTTAATCCAAAATTACCAAAATTATAAATTTTCTAATTTATCTATTGATTTGTAGTTGAAATTGGACATCACGGTTATCACAAACTAATTAGTTTTCATTTAATTAGATCCCTATATGATGAGATATTTATAGAAATCATTTGCATTGAATTTAAATTAAGAAAAAAGTTCAAAATATTAAAGAAATTGTTTTATTTTGAATTATTAAGTTTTTGAATTTTTTTATTGTATAAGTTGTTGAACTTTTTTTATGTTGATTGATTAAGTCATTACATTTTTTTGAATAGTTAAATGATTGAGCTTTTTATAAA